TCTAGGTTACTTTTCTTATTGCTAAGACAAAATACCCACCACCCCAAGTTAAAGAGGAAGAGGCTAATTTATCTCACAGTTTATAGAGGGTTCAGTTGATAATCAGCAAAGTGGCACATGGAAGAGGGGCGACAGTGCGTGGAGGTGGGAGATAGCAAAAGCAACAAGAGCTGAGACTATCCCTTATATTGTATGGAGGCTACCTGCCCTAGGGTAGACCTTGAATCAATCACAAACAGGAGTCAGACTCTAATGAATAACCCCCTTCACTGTATAAGGCTTTGGAGGGACATCTAGACATAAACCATAAGACATACATAAATCCTGTAATTCTTTATCCATTTTGATGTTGATGGATGTTAAATTGCCTCATTTGAAATGATTATGTATGACACTCTTCAGAATATACTTGTCTCCTTATGTACATATGTATGTGCTTCTCTAGTGGCTTTCAAAGTGTGGTCCCTGGACTAACAGCATCAGTATCATCTGAGAATTTTTTCATTCTTAATCTTATCTATCTATCTGACAGGGTCTCACTATGTAGTTCAGGCTGGGCTTGAACTCATTATGTAGTCTCGGCTGACCTCAAACTCACAGTGTTCCACCTGCTTCCTGAGTGCTGGAATGACAGATATGCACCACCATGCTCACCTTCATCTGAGAATTTCTTAGAAAAGCAGCCTCAGGTTCCAGACCTACAGAATTAGCAACTCACAGGACAAGTCTCAGTAATCTAACTTTAACAATCTCTTCAGGTGGTTTCTTTCTTGATACAAAGTCTTGCGATATAGTTTAGCCTAGCTTTGAACTCATTATGTAGCCCAAGCTGGCTTCTCCAGGTGATTATAATGCATGCTGAACCTTGAGAACCATGATGTAGGCTCTATACCTGTGAGTTGAATTGATGAGCCACAAGGTAAATGTATGTTCAACTTCAGTGACTAGTATAAAATTGTTTTCTAAGTTAATTGCTCCAATTTATCCTCAGCCCAACAATGTATGAAAGCCTCAGTTGAAACATGTTTCAATACTTGGTAAGTTTATTTTTAAAGTAGCAATTCTTTGGGGGTAAAACAATATATCATTATTTTAATTTGCATTTACTTGGTGGCTTATGATTTTGAGTACATTTTATTAAGCATTTATAGATTATTTTCAAAATGCCTGTTCAAGCCTTTTGCCCATTTTTCTGTTGGTGCACATGCACATGTGAGAGAGTGTGTGTGTGTGTGTGTGTGAGACTGGGGATTGAATCTGTGGTGGACAAATGTTCTACCACAGAGCTATATCTCTAGCCATTCATTTACTCACTCACTCACTTGTTCACTCACTTTCTTACTTTTTTTTATTTTGAGATAGGGTGTCACTAAGTTGTCTAGGCTGGCCTGGAACTTGTGATCTTCTTGCCTCAGCTTCCAAGTAGCTGGTTAACAGAGATGTGCACCCTTGTTTGGCTCTAATTCTTTTTTAAGACAGGATCTCCTTGTAGCTCATGCTGCCTTGAACTTACACTGTAGCCCAGGATAACCTCAAATTCACACTGCTCAGGTTGTCCTCCTGCCTCAGCCTCCTGCGTGCTGGGATTACAGGCACATGCCACCACGCCCAGTCTTAATTGCTGTCTCAGTGTGCCCCAAGGGCAGGGCCAGCACAGCATGGGGATCAAACCCCAGTCCCTTAGCACTTGCCTAAGTGGGCGCTTTAGTGCTGAGCTATCTGGCCAGCCCTTCTATTGGATTTTTAAAAATCTTCCTTTATTGATTTGTAGAGTTCTTTAAATATTCCAGAAACAAGATCTTTATAGACCTATTATTAACATATTTTCTATCATGTGTTTTCCCTAGCACTCTCTTAATATTTTTGCTGATCAGATATTCTTAATTAATTGTATAAAATACACTAGATTTTCCTTTAGTGCTTTTGGTTGCTCTTTAGGAAATATTTTCAAACTCTGAGTTCATAAAGATTTTCCTATAATGGGACTGGGGAGATAGCTCAGTGGTCTAAGTGCCTACCTGGCAAGTGCAAGGACCCTGGTTCAATCCTTGGTATTGCATGCTGGTCCCAAAACTGGGCATGGTGGTGCATGCCTGTGATCTCAGCTCTGGGGAGGCTGAGAAAGGAAGATCACTATGAGTCTAAGCTATGTAGCAAGACCCTATAACAAATAAATAAATGAAAGATTTTTTCAATTGAAAAAGATTTTTTATAATAGCTTATAAGTACTTCTTTGCTTGACTCCCTTACATTGACATATAATTCAACTAGATTCTATTTTTGTGTACATTGTAAGTGGTGATGGTTAGGTTTAATTGTCGACTTGATTTGCTTAGGACCTACGTAGAGGGTGACAGTAGTAAAGCACAGTCTGGATATGTTCTGTAGGTCATGAAAAACTGACCTAGGAGATTATATCTGGTCTATGACCCTTCCTCTCTGGTGCTGTTCTGCTGATCTGCCTCCTGGCTGAATAAGTAGTGTTACTCCACCATCTCCTCCTACCATGATATTCCTCTCTTGGAGCCAGCTGACTATGGACTGAATCCTCTAAAATCATGAGTCAAATTAAACCTCTTCCTTTGGGTTATGGGTATTTGGTATTTTGACTGGCAAAGGGAAAGCTGGTTAGTGCATCCTTCATTTTTGAACTCTCCCTGTCGTCTTCCCTCTAGACATATTTGTCTCCAAATTTTCCTTTTTAATAAGGATAACAGCTACTTTGGAATGAAATCCATGATAATGACCTCATTTGACTAAGTACCTCTGCTATAGCCTTATTTCCAAATAAGGTCACATTCTGAGGAACAAAAGATTAGAATTTCAACATATCAATTTTGGAGGAGATAGAATTCAATCCATGATTGCCAAGGCCTGTGAACTCATCCTTCGTAATACCTCTCATCAGTGTCTCCTTTCACTCACATTCAGGTGTCCACTTGGCCTAGCCCAACATTTCTAAACAATTCCATCTTTAACCAAAATCCTTTTGCATAAATGTGAGAATACTCTGAAGCACAACTTTCACTGTCATTCCTTTAAAACCTTTAGTGGCTCTCCCTTATCTGTCCAATATGATCCAAACCATGCAGTGCAGTCTTCTAAACCTACTTTCCTTTTTAAAAGCGCCATTTTTCTACCTTTTTGCTCTGTCTCAGAATTATCAGATTATTTAACTTTCTCTATACCTTTGATCTTTCCAACTTCTACCACTTTGCTCTGGGGATGGAGTGTTAGAAGGGTCAGTTTGTAGACCTGTTATGGTGTGTGTATAGGTGTACCCTCCCAAGTCTCATGCAGTTATGGGGCAGCTTCTGGAGTTTGTGATGGATTATTGTGGAAGTAGATGCTGCACCTGCCCTAGTGCATGTAATTTGCATTACAGTGTAAGGAGGGGAGAGAGGCTAGCTAGCTGCCTGAGTTGCTGCCACTCCCTTTGCTCTTGTTCTTTGCTACAGTCATGAAAGTTTGCTCTCTTGTTTTTTGCCGCCACCATGAAAGGTTGCTCTCTACCATGTGCTGCTATGCTTTGGAGCCAGCTAGAACCTCGAGTGACTGTGAGCTAAATAAACCTTTCCTTCCTTCATTTTAAGTGTGGATATTTGTCCCACCAACAAGAGAAGAGTAATAGATGAGACCAAAGAGGAGAACTTAGATTTTTAGAACACAGTGAGCTGGGTATGGTGTCCCGTGCTGGTAATCCTAGCACTCAGGAGGCTAAGACTGGAGTATTGCCATAATTCAAGGCCAGTCTGAACCACATAGTGAGGACTTGTCTCAAAAAACTAAAAGAAACAAAAGACTGACAAAGTATTTTGGTGATGGGGCACTTACCTGAAAAATGGAATAGCATATGCAAAGGTCCAGGAACATAAGCCAACTGGACACACTTTGAGAAACACAATTAGGGATGAATTGCTGGAACAAACAGGGTGACAGAAGGGAAAAACACCGTTGCCCTGAAAAGGTTGATGTGACAAGAATCTGAATGCTCTGTGGGTCAGAAAATTCCTTGGACTTTTCCCTATTAACAAAAAGTTAGAAACTGATCATAACCAAACACCATGCAGTGAATCTTTATCTTATTCACAACTGTATTTCTAGAGCCTAAAAGAGTGGCTAGCATGTCTTAGGCTCTTTTTGGGTTGACCCAAAGGAGATAAGAAGGTCGGCATAGGTTGTTTGTGTGGGATATGGTCCCAGAAATCCCAGATAAGGGACAGGAAAAGTCAATGTATCAAGGAAGGAAAGTCCATGAGGGCTGGCCAGATAGCTCAGCAGATTAAAGTGCCTGCTTAGCAGATGCAGGGGCCAGTCTGCCATGCTGGCCCCACCCCTGGAGCACACTGAGATGGCCACTGAGCCTGGGCGTGATGGCGCACACCTGTCATCCAGGACTTGAGAGGCTAAAAAACAGGAGAATCACTACAAGCCCAATCTGTGTAGTGAGACCCTGTAGACCCTGTACTAAAGACATTAAAAAAATAAATACATAAATAAGAAAGTCCATAATATTAGGTGTGCTCTTAAACAGATTATACTGTAGAAAACTGGACTGTGTATCATCAGGCATCCTTCGAATAGTCAGATGGAACATCCCTCAGAATTGTCTACTAAGACTTGGAGGATTCTGGAGTATTTTAGCACTAAATTTAGTCTTTCACTGGTTGAAAGTTGCCTTTGGGAACACTGAATCCCAGGTACTTCACGAATGCCTAGAGTCCAGTGGGGGCACATTGTCCAGAGTTCTAGAGACCCAGCAGGATGAGAAGCAGAGCTCCAGGACTTGAGGCAGGAAGGTATCAGCAGGTATGGAAACTGTTTGCCTGATGCTGTGGGTGGAAGGCAATGTGGGCCACTAGATATCTGTGTATATGCTCCCAGCAGATCCCTGGATGAAGCTATGGCACATACAGCTTACTTCCCTGACTATTCTTCAAGGTCTTTGAGGGCAGAAACTAAATATAAAGGTCAACACAACAAAGCACATGTGGAGAGCTGTACCATGGCGGAGAAGACTCAAAAGAGTGTGAAGATTGCTCCTGGAGCAGTCGTATGTGTAGAAAGTGAGATCAGAGGAGATGTAACTATAGGACCTAGGACAGTGATCCACCCTAAAGCACAAATTATTGCAGAAGCTGGGCCAATAGTGATTGGCGAAGGTAACCTAATAGAAGAACAGGCCCTGATCATAAATTCTTACCCAGACAACATCACCCCTGACACTGAAGATCCAGAACCCAAACCCATGATCATCGGCACCAATAATGTGTTTGAAGTTGGCTGTTATTCCCAAGCCATGAAAATGGGAGATAATAATGTCATTGAGTCAAAAGCATATGTAGGCAGAAATGTAATACTGACCAGTGGTTGCATCATTGGGGCTTGTTGCAACCTGAACACTTTTGAAGTCATCCCTGAGAATACAGTTATCTATGGTGCAGACTGCCTTCGTCGGGTGCAGACTGAGCGGCCACAGCCCCAGACACTCCAGCTGGATTTCTTGATGAAAATCTTGCCAAATTACCACCATCTAAAGAAGACTACGAAAGGAAGCTCAACTCCAGTTAAGAACTGAGAGCTGCATGTGATACTCAGATAACTAATGTCCTGTGTGTCTGTTGTCTTTTGAAAGCCCACAGTGTTCGTGCATCCTTAGCAGCTCACAGCATAATATGTGTTGACTTTATGTTATACAGTTAAGTTGGAGAGAACAGTAATGGATTTTCATTGTAACTATCCTTTGTAATTTATATAAAATGTATTATTTTCCTATACTCTTGTTCCTTTTCTGATAACTTACAAATTTCCATTTTTCTTTTGATATCTGTCAGCCACAAATTTGTTATGTAAAATCTACCTGTGATAAGAAAAGATATATTGTTATGTATTTATATTCTGTCATATACTAAATAAAATTGCTGGTGGCAGGAAAACAAAAAAAACCAAAAAAAACAAAACAAAACAAAAAAAAAACCAAAGCACATGTGTACTGGTCAGCTTTCCTCTGCTGAGACCAAATACTTGACATGCATAACTTGAAGTTTATTTTGGCTTATGTTTTCAGTCCACAGTTGACTGGCTCTAAGGCAAAACCTCATGGTAGAAAGGCAGGGAAGGAAGGCTTCTTAATTCATGGCATCCAGAAATCAAAGAGCAGGGCAAGATCCAGAGACAAAGGAGCCAGGAACTACATACAGTAGGCAAAGTCACACACCTACAACCTGCCCAGACATACACAGAAGTGGGCTGTACTAGCCTCCTAGGTGTCTCTCAAGCCAATCAAGTTGCCCCTGAAGATTAACCATCACATAGGACTTGAGAATGAACAAGAAAGAAAGGTACGGGGGAGGAGCAGGTGACAGTGGCTAACAATTTTGACGACAAAGAATAAGTGAGTATGACTTTTCTTATAGAATTAGGTTTGTTTGTGTACTTGAACACAAGTAAAAGGGTAGGGGCTAGCTCTGAGACATTACTGAGAGTCTGTGTTACCAAGAATTAATTATATTTATCTGGGCTGCATAATAGGGTAAGGTGTGGTGTGGTGTACTCATAGCCTACTTCCCTGAAGCAACTCAATCTTGATGCCTGACTGTGCGCACTTATGTATTTCTGTTGAGCATGAAAGTGCTCTGGAAAAAATAAAGCTCAGCAAATAAAACATTCTGGTATTTGGTTGGGTTGAGAATGGGCCGCCCTATTTCCCACTCTCTTTAAAGACTTTTAGCTACCAAAGGCAAATCAGCAAGAGCCATCAACAAGTGTGAAGACACCTGGAACTCAGCACTGCTCTGCTGTGCTGATCCTCAAGAGCACAATCTGTGGGCTCATCCTGGCAGGGGCTTTAGATGCAGAAGGTGGAGACTCATGTAAGACAGCAGCCTGTAGGCTGGCCTGGCATGGCGGATAGAAAGAATGACCAGAGGCAAACATGGAGCCCATCTCTCCATCACATGAAAAGGTGGGCAAACAAACCACACAGTGTAGCCAGGGGATGGGTGGGGAAGGCTGCTGTTCCAGCTGTGGTAGCCTTTACTTTCCTCACTTCAGGAATGGTTGGTGGAAGGAAAACAACAGAAACAAGCCTTCTGCCGGCACTGAAGCCCATGACCTCCCCCACCTCACTAGTTTCAGACTCTGCCTAGGCCATCTCCAGACAAGCTCCCAGAAAGTGTTTGTATGTGAATCCATTTTAATGATTCATTCATTCAAGAACTGCCCCCTGAAGGGCAATGAGGGGTGGCTTGGAGCAGGGAGGCTCCACACTCAATCTCAATCAGCGACAAGGTTGTGGCCCCTGGTGGGGAATGGCCTGGAGGAGCCCTAAAGAAGAAAGAAGGCATCTGGAGTCAGGATGGTGGGAGATGGCCCTTCCCTCACCTGCCCCCTTCCTCAAGCCTTTCAGCCACAGCCTAACTTGAGGAAGCCTTCCATGCAGTGACTCAGCCCACTGACTGACAGCTGGTCGCTTGGCTCCCACTTATGGTTCTCCACCCACTGTGATTTTTCCTTAGGCTGGAAATGGCTGTGCCTTTTTTGCATTCCTGGAAGTACCTGGAAGCACAACAGCTAGCAGCCCCCACAGGGAGGTCTCTGTCTCTCAGCTTTGATTATGTTGCCCCAGCAACTAATCCAGGTTATACAGGAAGCTCTGCTACCACATTAAGGAAAGGGAGTTTGTTCTTTGGAAAGCAAGAAGAGACAGGACTCCCTGAGATGCCAGCTGCCGCTAAATGGAGGGCACATCTTGCCCTGCTGCACAACCTGTCTCTATCTCCCTGGCCAGGACAGGTGGCTGTTTACAGTTTTCACTCCTGCTCTTCTCACTGTCTGATCCCCAACACCACCAAGACAGCATTTTCAAATCATGTCACCTTATATTTCCCTTCTTACATTCCCCCAGATAACTTGCACTTTGAATAAAATCCAGTCTCTTACTATGATCTGCAATCCCCTGTATGGTCAATCCTGACTCTCCTTCTTCAGTTTCATCTTCTTCCACTGACTTTGCTGTCTGTTCCCCTCATGTGCCCTGGTACTCTTGTTTCAGAACATGAGTGGTTGCAATACTGTCTGCCTGGGATGCCCTCTCCTTAATTCTTTCTCTGGCTCTAACCTCTTACATTTTAGGTCTTGGCCCCATTCCCAAGAATTTTTCAGCATGAAGAATATTGATGCTTGGAAGAGGCTACCCCTTCAAGTCCTTAAGAGGCAGAAGAGGAGCTATGCAGGGAAAAGAGATGGAAATCTGGAGACTTGGATCCAGTCTTTGTTCTGCCATGAACACTATAGAGCCTCGAGGAGGGCCCATGGCCAATCCAGCCCAGATTTCTTATTTAGAAGGATAGATGTATAATTTCCAGTCTGGATTGTGGATGCTGTAGAGTTCAAACATCCCAAAGAGACGATTGCAAGCCTTGCCCAGGAGACTTGCATGGGACAAAGGCAGGACCTGAATGTGGGGTCTCTGGGCTGGGTTTCCCTTTATTCTAGGGGGCTTTGCTATTCTTTGCTATATGCAAAGGAGCACATGGCAGAAGAGGGCCATTTTAAGGCCTTCTAATCCAGTTTGGAGAACTCTGAACTCCTCAAAACCCATTTTTAAGCTATCGATGTTGCACAGTCATGCAGTTCATCTTTTCAGTAGAGGCTCCCAGCACCTACAGCATGCCCCAAGTCTCTCCTCTCACATGATCCTGTGCTGTCTGTGAGATACAAGAAAACAGAGCTACCTTTGACTGGGAAAGAAAAGATCTTTCTGCCTATTGTCCTCACCCTAGTATCCACCCCCATTTCTACCCCTGCCTCCCTTATTTAAACAGGTCTTCGGTGATTCCACCCTCCCAGGAGAAAGCAAGCTTCTCTCACCTTGGCAGTGTTGGTGACCTCTTGTTTCATGGCCTTTGAAACCGCTTTGGAGGTAAAGCACTGGTCTCTATTCACTTTGGGCATTGAGCTCTGGGAAGAGAAAAACCAGGAGCCAGGAAGGAAACAGAAAAGAAAAAAAAAAAAAAAAAGGAAGACAGTGAGCTATAAAGTCAGGACTTTGCAGTTCTTTGAGGCCACAGCAGTCTCACCTTGGGCAGTAAGAGTTGAAGTTTCTCCTCTTTCTCGCTTCTGAAAGAGACAGGAACAACAAGTGGGCCTATGCGCACTAACACCTACCCCTGCAGGTTTAATGAATTATCATAAAATTGTGCCCAGCTGACCCCAGGTAGGATCTCTGAAGCATTCCCTCTATAGTATAGTGCTCCTGGTAGCAATCCCTTGCAGTTCTAGCACTCATTCCTTTCCTGCTCTGTCTGCCAGAGAGCATGGACCCACCACATGCCCCACACACCTCACTCCTGTGCTTTTAGTAGAGAGAGCTGCCTCCCCACACTTCAGGTATGGAGTTTGGGTGTGGAGTCCGCTCACATGCTCCATATTTTGAGCCATTAGATCCTGAATGAGGTCATCCTTCCAGAACAGACCTATAGGATGAAAGAATAGGGGGAATTGACACCTGGGACACTGTCCATTCCAGGAACCAGAGAAGCTTCAAGCTTCTTACTTGAGTGCATAAAGGATCATATTTTGTGGAGATAATGAAATGAGATGGTGTATAAAAGTTGCCTATCACAGTGCTTGGTATGTCATATTCAATAAGCATGATGGCTGCAGATTCTGCTGATTCATCTGATGATATGGTGAGGATTAAATGAAGTTAGAGATGCAAAGTGCTTAAAAAACTCTGAAGCAGCAATTGTCAAGCTCCAGTGTGCATTAGAATATTTTGCAAAGCTGTTGAAATATAAATTGTTCTTCACCATAACCAGAGTATCCGATTCAGTAGGTCTGGGGTAAAGACTAAGAATTAATGTGTCTGTCAAGTTCTCTGTTGACACTGGTGTTTGTTGGGGGTGTACTTTGAGAAGCATTGTTCTAAGGCATTGTACACATAGTAGGCATTAGAAGTAGTAATATGAACTCAAGGCAGATTTTCTGAGTCTCCTCATTTACAAAACTCTGCTCTATGGAAGGTTCAGCCATCTGTCTCAAATAAGACTCTCTACTCCCTTTTCTTCCTCCTCTCTGGTTGTCACACAATTTTCTCAGCTTCCTACTTAAAGGCTGACATGTGTACATTTTCTTCTGGCTGAGAACTTAATTGGTCCCTGCTCTGAAAACACTCAGTAGTGCCAGGGGTTGGGATGCTGGCCTTTTCCATAGATTTCTTCTAGAACCTTCTGCTGGGCTCTTCCAGGATGTTTGAGGCAAACAGCCCATCTAGCCTTAGTACCACTCCTCTCTTGCCTCCCTTTCCCTTGAGCTGAGTGTGACAAGTATTTCAAGCAGAGACACCCGAAGAAAAAAAAAACTATCCCCAGAATAGACAACTCTTCACAACCCTCATCTACTCTTGAGCAGATTCCAATCTCTATTCTCCAGCTTTACTTACCTTGGGGTATAAGCTGGTGGAGTAGAACTCGAAGGTGACGGAAGAATGGAGCAGTAAATCCTTTCAGGGGCCAGAGCTGTACCACTTCTCCTTGGCCCTGTTCATCTAAAAACACAATAGTGGTGTCAGGAAAAACCTGGCCCATAAGCCTTCTGTATGCCAGCTGAAGAGGAGCTAGCTTCCCCACACTGGCACTCCCTGATTGCCTTCTTCTCTGTACTAGGCTCCTTCCCCATCTTCAAATCCTCCTTTCTTCTTCCCTCATTATCACTTGCCCTGCCCTTCCACTTTTGAGCCTCATTTGACTTTCAACTTGGCATCAACTTTCAGGTAAGAAACAACCCTGGGTGAGCAGTGGCTCATAAGGATGCACATATGGGGTGGATAATCAGATGGAAAGATGGAGCATGGGGAAGCAGGTGAGGTCAGTTTAGGGAAGACTTTGAAGCCAAGAGGTGTTGTGGAGGACTGGAATCTTCAGAAGGAAAAAGCACCATCTCTTCAGGTAACTCGTTCCAGGACTATCCACCCCATACCAAAAAACAAGGTGCTCAAGTCCCATATATAAAATGGCTTAGTAATTTGTGTATTACCTATTAACATTCCTCCATATACTTAGGTCATCTCTTGATTATTTATAATACCTAACACAATATAAATCTCAGCAGTTACTTCAATGAATTATTTAGGAAATAATGAAAAGGAAAAAACCTGTACGTCTGTTCAGGGCAGATGAATTTCCCCAGATATTTTTGATCCTTAGTTGATCTAATTCGAGAAAGCAGAATTCCCTTGTGTGTAACTGTACTGTTACTTATAGGGCTTGAGGGTCTGAGTAGTTTTTCTGTAGGTCACAGTTTGCCCTGCGATACACTGAGGAAGAGTCGACGTCAAGAAAGATAGCTCCTAATGTGAATGAAGCACATCTCCCCTGTTCCAGATAGATAGATGGACCTGGGCTGAAGGAGAGCCCAATTTTTCTACAGTGGAATTACCACTTGTCAGTCTGGTCAGGTCTTAAGAAGAGGAAATTCTCCCTAGTCAGTGAATAATTTCCTGTCCTGGAAAAGAATTGGAAGCTCCAGCTTTCTACTGAGAGCGAACTGAACTGAACTTCCGAAAGGAAATGTAATTCTCAGAGGCAGCACCCCCTAAAGTCGCATGCGGAGGGTGCTGTCCGTGGTGCTGAGGGGGCTTGGCGCTTCCTCCAGGCTTAGCGGCCCTCTTCCCTCCGCCCCTTCTCACATCCGCCAGCAGGCCTTCTCCCACAGTTCTTTGCGAATCCTCTGCATTAGCTTCTACACGTAAGAATCGGGTGGGGATAGTAGGCGTCAGAGCAGGAGTTTGCGCTCAGTTCCTCAAATGGTGGGCGTAGGAACTTGCGAGCCTGCGCAATTGGCTCCAGTTGTTTAGAAGTGAGTCACAGCCGGGTCAACCTTGATGGCGCAGAGCGGAGAGAGGGGGAAAAGGATGATCCCTTCCCCCTTCCGTTCTACGGCTTTACTCCAGCCTAGCATTCCCCTCCTTATCCGAATCGGGTTACAGTTCCCAAGCTCTGGACTCACAACTAAGCCTTTCTTTTCCCTTCTGCCAGGACCCAGATGATGGAAGACCAGTGCTCCTGATCCTCTGCACATTCCTAGCCCGGCTCATCTCTTCCGTGGACCCTTGGCGCGTCTGGCTTCTCCTCTGGCTGCCCTCTGCCCATTCGTCTTCCCGATCTCCCGAATACCCAATCTTCCTCTGCCCTGGCTCCTCTTAGGTTCAGATGACTTGTGCCAAGATCTATGCCTCTTCAAGATACTTTTACCGGTATCTCTCCTTCTGTCCACAAACACATTTTCCTTTCGTCTCCTAGCCCTGAGGCCCTAAGTCTTCTCTTGCAAATGCTCTCTGATCCTGCCCGCACCCCCCAGATTTCCTTCTGACCGTGGGGACTAATGTCGCCGCAGCACACTGGACAGCTGTTCAGCAGCAGGAAACATAGCAGCAGCCGGAGGGCCCCGGAGCCCCCAGACCATGGCAGGCGCTGCATTCTCCTCGCGCTCCGCCCTTGCCTTAGTCGCAGTGAAAGTAGCTACCGAGGCTGGAGGCGTTGCGCGAGGCGAGCGCTTTCCACCCGCTAGCTAGCAGAAGCTTGCAAAGCCCTCCTTCTGCATCGGCCAATAGCGAGCAGGTCCTGCCCCTAGGACGCCTCTCCAATTCCTCATTTCCCTTAGGCCACCTTCCTCCCCACACCCTTTGGACTTCCTGGCCATTCTGCTTTTTGACACAAGCCAAGTCCTAAAGACCACAGTATATACTTCCAATTCCAAGGTTGGAGAAGTGAGCTGCATGTAAGATGTGGACAGACATTACACCTGCCTTATGGGTTTAAGAATTAAATATGAACTGTGGAGAACAGTAGGCACTCAAGGAATTTAGTTGGTTTTTATTATTCTTGATGTTCATTCTACCTTCATGCAACTACAACCTTTACCAATCACATGGAGTTGACCCTCAGAACATATTGTGCATCTCTCTTATTTTTTTCCCCCCACATTCACTATGATCACTCTGGTCCAAACCACTTTACCCTTTTAAGTAGATCTATTGCAATGACTAACTGACTTGCTGACTTCTTATACCAATGTGTATGAGCTTTCCAAACTCTAGGCTGACATTTCAATATAATTTGTTGATGATGATGATATTGTTGTTGTGAACTGGATAATTTGTGTTGATGCATTATGGACTTTGAATTACATTATATTTATTTTATTTTACTTTTGTATTTTAGGGAAGGGTCCACAGGGTGTTCAGGGTCTCACTACTAGATCAAACTTGTAGTGATCCACCTGTTTAAAACCTCCCAAGAGCTGGGATTACAGGCATGCACCACGCCCAGTCTCAATTGTCATCTCAGTGCGCCCTGGGGGTTGGGCTGGCATGGCAGGCCCAAGGACAGAACCCCCAGCCACTGCGCCTGCTTGCAGGCATTTAATTGTCTGCGCTATTTGGCCATCATATTTCTTTAAAGAGTGTCAAATTTGTTTTGGCAGACAATTAACTTTTGGCAGAAAACCTTGCTCTTGTAGAAGCCTGATTAAGACAGAAGTCTTTCATTTCTGCATTAATCATTGGCTACATCCCTTCAGTGTGGGATGAGGTACTTAGACCTAAGGTATAGTCCTTTAGCGATTTCAAGGTAAACCTTACAGTAAGTTCAGTTTCTGTACTCCCAACTCTGCTTCTCAGCCAGTAAGACTGCCACTTACTAACCAAGTTCTTTTTCACTATA